TTTTAAGGAGAATCAAGTCAAAATCAAGTTTACTCTTACCTAATCTCTTGTTTGAACTATGTTTTTACCAATTGATTTCGTTTTTGTGCTTGTTTCTGCTGTAATCATGAGCTAAAAACTCATAACTTCTGTTTAGGTAGATGAATTTGTGAACATGGATTGATTATTTGATTAGGATTAATTATAATTGGTGATTATGTTTTATTAAGCTTGTTAAAGAACCTTATGTGTTAACAATAACTATTCTTCTGTTAATAAATCAGTAATTAAGTCGTATGAACATCTCTTAGTTATTAATTTCATATGATTTATTGTGACCACATAGTTGTATGTCTAGGAATAACGAATGTGAAACTAGAATTAACTAGAAGATAGGTAAGTTAATGTGTGAGGTTGTTTGATGAACATCAGCAAGAGGTTAATTGAAGGACCAATTTAATTAACCATTACAAGTCTTATTTAACCCGAATCAATAACTAGGAAATTCGTTAATTTAGACAACTGGCCACTGTTTGAGTTAATTTGTTTCCTAAGGATTAGTAATAGCAAACGTAAAACTAATCATCTTAGTCGGTAGCCAATGAAGAATTAATCCGATACATTGAAATCATCCATGGGAACAAATGAGTCGAACCTAAACAGAAGTCCTCTTTATTATTGAATTTAGTTGATTTTTATTTGCTTAGCTCTTAGTTTCTTAGTTTAAGTTTTAGTTAATTGTTTAAGTTTCTAGTCTTGCAAAACTAGAGAAAACCCCCTTTCTATTACTTGTTTTATTTAGATAATAGCAGCATCTATTTTAATTGTTTACCGTTCCTTGTGTTCGATACCCTACTTACCTGAACTAAACTGCTAATCGATAGGTACACCGCCTTTCGTGTGTTTGTCTTTGTGTTTAAGTTAGTAGGATTAAAACTAGTTGGTTTTACACACATCAATGGTAGTAAGTACATACTTGTCATTGTAGATGATTTTTCACATTTCACCTGAGTTTTCTTTCTTAAATTGAAATCAGAAGCAACTCCCAAGCTGAATACATTTATTAAGAAAGTGGAAGTTCAACTGAAAAAGACGGTGAGAAATGTCAAGAGCAACAATGGCCTGGAATTCAAGAATAAATACTTTGAGGACTTTCTGGTTGATTAGGGGATAACACACAACTTTTCGGCCCCATATACACCACAACAGAATCAGATTATTGAAAGATGAAACCGTTCCTTATGTGAGGCTGCCAGAACCATGCTCAGTTTCGTTTTTCTTCCGTTATACTTCTGGGCTGATGCTGTTGCAACTACATGCTACACTCAGAACCGGTCCTTTCTTAACAAAGATTCTCAATCCCTCCATATGAGATTTTAAATAATCGAAAGCCCAATGTCAAAATTTTCCATGTGTTCGGTTCAAGATGTTTCATCCTAAACTCCAAGGAGAACCGAAACAAGTCTGACGTTAAAGCTAATGAGGGAATATTTCTTTGTTATTCACTCTCCTCAAAAGCTTACAGAGTTTTGAATAAACAATCTAAACGGATTGAAGAAACTTATTACGTCACCTTTGATGAAAATTACATGAAGAAAGTTCAAGGGAGCGAAAGTGACTTAGGGGAAATTTTTTCTACATCAAGACAAGTCTCGGTTCCAATATCCAACTTGTTCGAAGACTACATTCCTTTATTCGATGAACCGGAGAAAGTGGCACACTCAGAAGCGAAAGTAGCACATAACAAAATTGATAATCTCCAAAAGATCATCGATGATGCTGCAAAGGAAATGGAAAGTGAAATTCCTAAACTTGCAAGTGCTCAATCCTCTGCTGACTCTCAAATCAATGGCTCAACGTTCAAGGGGAAGAGTTCGTCCGCACCAAAAACAACCAATGTATCTTTCGAGGGGGAGAATTCTATATCGTTCCCAACTAATAAAGGTACATTTGAGGGGGAGAATCCAACTCTCTCTGAGGATGTAAACTTCGATGCTGCCACGGGTTACGCTTCGCCAGTCGAGGGGGAGAAAGAAAAGGCATCTGACGAAGGCGAGAGCGATCAATCAGAATTTAAAGAAGAAGTGAGTGCTGAATTGGATCTGGCTTATAACCCAAATTATCCTCTGTTAGTGAAATGGACCAAGGATCATCCTAAAGAACAAATTATTGGTGAATCCTCTGAGAAAGTTCTATCTCGTTCTCAATTAAAAGCGAAACAAGGTGCATTATTTTCTAAAGTTGAGTTCTGTATGTTTAATTCGTTTATCTTCGAAATCGAACCGAAAATAGTAAATACTACGCTTGATCATTCTAATTGGGTTCAAGCAATGCAAGATGAGCTCCATGAGTTCGAACGTAACCAAATTTGGAGTCTGATTCCCGCACCAAAGCATGCTTCTATGGTCGGCTTGAAATGGGTCTTTAGAAACAAATTGGACAAAGAGGGGAACATCATTCGCAACAAAGCTAGGTTGGTGGTAAAAGGATATTTCCAAGAGGAAGGGATAGATTATGAGGAAACCTTCGTTTCAGTAGCAAGGTTGGAATCAGTTAGAATCTTCCTAGCATATGCTGCTCATAAAAACTTTGAAGTTTTCCAAATGGATGTCAAATGTGCTTTCTTGAATGGAGAACTAGAAGAAACAGTGTATGTTGAGCAACCTACCGGGTTTGTAAACGAGAAATATCCTGATCATTGTTATGTGCTGGATAAAGCGGTTTATGGTTTGAAGCAAGCACCGAGAGCCTGGTATCGGGTTTGTAAACGAGAAATATCCTGATCATTGTTATGTGCTGGATAAAGCGGTTTATGGTTTGAAGCAAGCACCGAGAGCCTGGTATGAAACCCTGACTCATTTTCTAAAAATATTAAAATTTAAGCAAGGTTCGGTTGACGCTACCTTCTTACAAAAGAAAGAAGGCGAACATCTAATGATAGTTCAAATTTATGTTGATGATATCATCTTCGACTCTACGAATCCTAGCTTAACAGCTGAATTTAGAAAGTTGATGGAGACTAAATTTGAAATGAGCGCAATGGGTCCAATTAATTTTTTCTTTGGTTTAAATATTAGACAGGGTCCAGAAGGCATCTTCATCAAGCAGGAGGCGTACACAAAGAACCTGTTAACAAAATTTGGCATGATAGGTGACTCTAAAGTGAAGGTTCCTATGGTGTTTGACACTATGTTAACACCGTCTCTAGAGAAACCTGCTGTTGACATAATGCTTTATCGACAAATGATTGGGTCCCTTATGTATCTAACAGCTAGTAGACCAGACATTATGTTTTCTGTCTGCTATTGTGCTAGGTTTCAAGCTAATCCAAGAGAACCTCACATGGTGGCTGTAAAGAATATCTGCCGTTATCTAAGGCGAACGTCATCTCTCGGTCTTTGGTATCCTGCCAAATCAGGGTTCTTTATTTAAGCTTTTTATGATGCTGATCTTGGAGGATGTGGTCTAGACCGAAAGAGCACTACAGGTGGATGCCAATTTCTTGCCGAAAAACTTGTTAGCTGGTAGTCGAGAAAGCAAACCTGTCTGTCACTTTCAACAGTAGAAGCCGAATACATTGATGCAGCTTCTTGTACTTCTCAAGTTATATGGATTCAAAGTCAGCTGCGAGATTATGCACTACTAGAAAAACAACCTTTTACGACGCTCATTGCGCGTCGTAAAAGGCTCAGACGACGCGCAAATGCGCATCAAGAAAGACCATATCATAAAGAGAGATGACGCGCTTTTGCTCATCGTCTATAGACCATGTGCATTTACGACGCTCATTTATGACACGTAATAACAACGTGCGTTTACGACACGCAATGCGTATCAAGGAAGTGCCTGTCATAAAGGAAGACGACACGCATTCGTGTGTCGTAAGCTTACGACGCGCGTGTTAATGACACGTAATGCATATCAAGAAAGCCCCTGTCAAGAAAGGCCATGTGATAAATGAAGATGACACACATTTTTGCGTATCATAATTTTAAATGTTTAAAAAAAATATTATTTATAGATTTACTTATTTTCAAATTAAATTTGTATTTAATGTTAAATAATAGAAAATAAAATATCATATACTAAAAATAGAATCCATTGCATAAATTTAATGTCTTACAATTCTATTTCTTGCAATATATAAATTTTCATTCATCTAATCTATTGTGTTTCATACAAAAAATCTATTTCATGAGGCTTCTTCCATTTCCTTTATTAGCTGCTTCCATCATTGGTATATATACAAAAAACTTGTATTACCTCAACAACTCATCCACATCATCAAATATATCATGAGCTTCCTGTATTGCTCATGGAACTCACAAGCACTGACAATAACATGTTCAGAAAATATAACCTGTAAAAAAATATAGCAAGATATGATTGAAACATTGGTAAAACTCTCTAAAAATTTTAAGTGTCCATATAGTTATGTTTATATCCAGAACCTTCTGTGTTGTTTACACAACAAAAAGGAGGGTAATTGTTTTTACTTTTACCTTATCAAAACCCATTGCCACAAGCTTTTAGATCTCTTCATCTGATACAACACTTACTGCTGCAGTGACATCTGTATTTATCCCTCCCTGCCTAAAATACAAACTAACTTTTAAAATAACAATCTAATGTGCCTTACTTTTTTCATTTACCCATAATACCAACTTCTTCTGACACCTTAATCTGCCTTTCAATTTCCAAACAAGAGGATTATAATTGTAAATTTGAACCAAAAAAGCTGTCAGATACTAAAAAGATAGAATAAAATAAAGATGATATTAATAAACTGAAAGTATATGTGTTTATCTGGATATTATATGTGTTTAACCTCTTTCAAGACGTGATAAACTGACTGATAAACAAGTGGTGCATGTGGTCTCCAAAATGCATATGTTTGGTTGTTGTGGGCACCTGGAACACTCAGAATATTTAATTTAATTGATTGATAAACAAGTATTCTTCTCAGAATCAACAAAAAAATAGACAAGATCTTTACTTTGAAATGTGCAAAGCTTGTCAAACTCGGAGCAGGAAACCGTCATTTTCCTAGATGTCATCCTCAAGAACTTTAATATATCCTCCTCAACTGCTCAAAATAGTCGTAATGTGCTGAAAGAAAAATTCATGAATATATCTGAAACTGCAACATGGATATTTGTCTTCCCAGAGGCATTTGAGAACTTGACAGAAGTATCAAAAAGCTCTAAAATTCTGATCCCATTGCTCTCCATTGTTAAACCAAGAGCATTTGCACTCATTTCTATTGTATCGCCCTTCAGCACGAGCCTATAGACAACATATAAACATGAATTTTTTTTTAATAAGTTGATCGTTTAAAAAGTAAATCATAAACCTAGAAGAAAACCCTCAATCTGCAGCTTATAAAAATGAAATATAACAAAAAGTTATTCATAAAAGAATCATTCTATCTCTCTATCAAAATATGCAACGATTCCTCTCACCCAACCATAAGAATTAACCTACTCCTTTCAGATTTCTCTCAGAAAGTACTGGCCTCTTTCCTTCATTTTAGAATATAATGGATATAGGTTTCCGGGGAGCCAGGTTTTGGACCTATCCACCACATACAAACGAACACACTCAAAATGGAGTGAGAAAATAGTGCTTTTTCATTTTATTAAACAAAAAGTGAAGATTTGTTAATCAAAAAGAGAAGATTTATGTTTAGCCATATTTAGACGACAAACATTCATTTAGGGATAGAAAATAAGAAGAAAAATGATAAATAGACTATTGCAAAATCATGTTTGAGTTTTAGTACCTATATGCCAGAGAAAGGAACAAATTTATAAGCATTTTTCTGATAAGCCCAAGTAATCCTAGAGGGCTTTTAGTTGATCTGCTTTATAATTGTTATTCTGCTATCTTTTTGGCTTTAGGGATAGAATGACCTTTTTAGGAGATATGGTTGTTATTGGTTGTTTTGTTTGTGGGAGCACTGACATTGTCCTAGGTCTGTTTTGGGACCACTCCCCTAAGTCTTGTTTTCTATTTATTTGCTTCTTGAGGTTTTTGTTGAGCAGCTAAGAATTATATTGTTAAGAACTTTGTTATTCTTGGAGAGTCCATTCCTCTTGAATGAATGGGAAAAACCCTAATCTATCTTATCAATTTATAGTTTGATTATCAATGGAATCTTTGTCTTATTCAATAAAGAATTAGGTCCTATCATTTTACAATACCCAAATCATCCAGTAACATGCAACACTAGCTTTAGTATGAAAAGGACCAAATAAAAATTTAAGGCACCCATGAAATTTAATCAACAAAATTCATGAAGGCAAGAAAGAGAGACCTGTAGAAGGCATCCAATCTTGCATGCAAAAACCTATTTGTGAAGAGAGGAGACTCTCCTACATATTTTGATGAATTATAGAATGTAAGCTCGGGGCTTATAACCTGCAAAAAAAATTATGTATAAGAACAGACATACTAGCAAAAAAGACAATGGAGAAGTAAGATGAAAAATATTGGCATGTCACAGAAGCACCCCTGCTGTTAGTAGCTTCATGAACAAGGTTATCATGAGTGTTAAACAGAATAACAGAAATGGTTTAGTACTACAGTAGTTAGTCCTATTATTAAGGGTTGATCTATAAATTGTAGTGTTGAGGGCACAAAAATGATTTAGACTATTTAGCTTAGAAGCTTCGAAGTGTTTAAGAAAAAATGTTAAGGAGATAAAGTAATCACTAAAAAAATGATATGAACTGACATCAGAAAATGTAAATGATTACATTTAAATTTCTTGATAGTATTTGTTTGTGCTAATGCAGTATAAATTTGCATCAATAGCGAATTAATCGCAATAAGAGAAGACCATCCACATATCTTGGAAAATAATATCATTGAAGAAACAAATAATAGTTGACTGTCAGATATTAAGCCACATTATTACAAGATGTACACAAAATAATATCATACTCCCTCCTCCTAAGATAATGTAATGTGCAACATGACACATGGTTGAATAAGAGACTTTGGGGGGCGAAATAAATGTAATAGATATATTCTCAAGATTGCACATGAGCTAAGATGTAAATTTAAACTGAAATAAGAAAGAAAATGTTGCATTTTTGGGACTGGGGCAAAAGTAAAGGGATATTTGTAATGATAGATTATATAAAGAGAAAAAAAAATTCTAAATTGGCATCATAATAGCAAACTTGGAGGGAAGAACATTAACATTGATGGAAGTATTGTCTTAATTTCTCTCTTATTTTTCGATGGCTTACAATTCACTAACTGAGATGACTTCTTTCTTTAGATGATACAAAAAAATTGATGTTAGAAGGAAGAACGAATGTAATGTCAAGTTCAAGTGGTGTTTGCTCGGGAAGTAAAAGGTTTATAGACCCATGTTTGGTAATGATATAATCATTGAAAAATTAACTTTACGCTAAGCTATGGACTGCTATCAGAAAAATACATTCACCTGCAACTCGATGGAAGTTTCTGTGGGTCTGCTCATTGTATTGTTTGGAGAAGGCAAATCTTTTGTAGTTTCCTCTTGAGTATTTGGTGAGCTACTTTCCTCCTCTTCCAAAAAGACTTGATCATCTTCCAAAGCTAAGAAACTGCTATTTGACCCTAGGGAAACACATAAGTCCAGATATTCTCCATTCTTCATGAGTAAATTTGATTTTCATAAGTTCGGAAGAAGAAAAACAATCAAACCAGAATCAAAAGTGAAAACACACCTTGATGGTGATATTTTTGAATTGCAATCGTTTACCACTGTCAACATGTATAATAGTTTCTATGCTTGTAGAAGAGATCATTTGTCCTTCTCTGTCTTGTAACAACAAAGTTCCACCTCTACCACCAAAGGCCTCTGAGGAGAGAGTATCAACACCTCATCGGTTTGACTAAAAACTGTTTTATCCAAAACAAGTGCATCAACTACATATAATGATGTTTCATCCACTTCATTTGATTGCATGCCATGTATAGTTGGTACAAAAAACTCAGCAACTGCATTAGGAATTCAAGTGCAACAAGCAATTGTGGCCTTTGGATACATAATGACAATGAGGTTGAATACTGACTAAATTTAGCATCAAGGATTAACATTGTGGGAACTCCTAATATCTCATCATATTTCACATCGTCAGCCTTCACTATTTGGTTCTCATCATTGTGAACCTTATAATCTGGACTATATCTCAGACTCTTGGGCTAACCCACAGCTAGCCTAAGATTTTCTTCTGTCCCCTCACGGTCATCATTCACAGTGAATCCCTTCAGGCTCGCTGACAGAAGACCTTCTCCCCGTGTATCAGCTTTGTAAAGCATCCATAGTCCACTCACCTAAGACAAAGAGCCACATAAGCGAACAAGTAGGAGTTTGTTTCTTTTTTTCTCCATTAAGTCATGTAAGGATGAAGTGGCTTAATGAGTAATGATGTTTTTCACTCTAGATCAACAGATCAAGTGCTGTATACATAAGGTTTGTTTCTTTTCTAGACTTAATAAACCTTCGAAGGTATCCAAATTCTCTTTAGAAGCATCAAGCTGGAGGCACAATTCGAGTACTAAATCTGTGTTGTTGGTAACTGAAACCAAAGATCTGATATGCACCTAAAACTGGATACTTGGGGGAATAAATCCCAGTTACAGATGCAATCGAATAGCAGAAATGGAATGGAATTGAATTCCAATTCCAGCCAACTCCTATGAAATCCAACAAACCAATATTCATAAGAAGGAAAATTACTGAGAATTCATTCCAGACTAACTAACTAGAATGAGGAACCTGATTAATCTGTTGTTCTATTTTAGTGAATGAAGAGGTTTATAACCTCATCATACATACGAGAGTAAACACCGACACCCTCTTTATATTGAGTATTGACCATTTGTTTTTAGAATTTCAACCCATAAAAACCACACCATGTGGCATTTCGCCTTCCCTGATGTCCTAATTCTCTAAATAAAAGCACATTTTTTAAATAAAGAAAATAATCAATCAAATAACAAGAATCTTGTAACAAATTACCAGGCATACTTTGTTACATAATCCTGGAACACTACAAAATATAATAGGTCTCAATTATGCCATGTCAACAACCTACAAAGAGATGCAAAAAGATATTGTTCATTACTGTAAATAGAAATAAGAAATTAAACAAGGAAATAGTTCTCTAACCTGCCTGCCTGCAACAATATCTATAGAACCGATGAGCCTGCTGCAGGAAAAGGTGCCAAGAACTCCTACATATACACAATACTCAAATCATCAGATAAATACATAAGATATATATCTAAGTTGTAATAGGTCTGATGTTGGTGTATATCTATAGTCTTTTTCCTTCACAGTCATCTGCAAATTCAACCATGAACACCTCAATACATGCTAAATATGGTATAAATATAACCTAAAGAAAAATCTCCACAAATAAAGGATAGAACTCCATAGCTTCTTACCTTCTCTAGGATACCAAGTATGGATGAATTTTCCATCTTTACACAAGTCTATAACAATCTTATAGTACCTGTGGAAATACATATACATGAAACAAATAGAAAGTTAGAAGCCACATGGATAATGTTTTTTTTGCATGTATCAGACAAATAGAAAGTCAGAAGCCACATGGATAATGTTTCTTGCCCTTTAGCATTCATGCACATTCTAGTTTTCTATTATGTTGCTCCTTCATTCCAAACAGAATTAAAATTTTTCTATAGGAAAAAGAATCTTTTGAACTACAGATTTGTCAATTTATCTTGATAATTTTATGGTAAGTGATAAGTAACCTTAAATTTCGAATTTGTTTGTGTTTTGAACCAATTTGTCAAAATTAAGTACTATTCAGAGAATACAAGTCAACATGAGGAGGAGAATCACCAAATCAAGGGTAAAATCGACATAACCAAGCTTTTAACAATATATACATGTTTATATAGTGAATAATGCCAATTTGAGAGAGACGTGGTTTGAAGTTTCATAAAATCTCATGTTTGAAATCCCTATGTCGGTTCTTTGGACTGTGGTCTCGATTGCTGTAGGTAGAATCACATATTTGTTGGTACGATCGAGCCCACTAAGTTTTAGATGATATTATTATACCTTCAACACAAAGAAGACGATGTTATTGAGAGGGAGTTTTGTTGTGTGAGACATATCACAAAGAAGATCTGATGGTCGTTAAACCAGACCTAGGGAATTTGAGCATCTGTGGCAGTCTCTGTCGAGGTAAGGTTATCCCAAGCTCGCCGGCTAAAAGAGATGAGTCAAGATCATTGGTAGATGAGGTGAGCCAAGGTAACGAAACGTTGCAGAGAGCACTCCCATCTTGAAAAGAACCGTAGAATGATCCCTTCGATTTCAGGGGCAATCTTGCGAGGATTTCGAGAAGGAGAGACTCAGCGAGGTTTTGAATATCGTATGAGAACGTATGAGCAATGAGAACAAGCCCTAGAACTGATGATTTGGAAAGAGGGTTTACTTGTGTTGAATTGATTGGTGTGATTACCTGAGATTGAGAGTGTTTTCTCTTTCTTAAATAGGTGATGATCTGATGATGGTGGCTTGGAATTGAGTTCTGATCACCATCATCGCCGATGTGATTGTCGATTTGATTGATTGAATTGTTAGGTTCCATTTAGCGGTTGTTTGAGGTTGGAAATGGAAATGGAAAGAGCGCCACCAAGGAGATTAGGGAGCGGAAGAAGAGAGAATCGGAGAAGTTCGAAGTGTAGATAGAGTTTTAGGGTTTAATTTCAACTTAAGAGTCCAAAAAGATTACACGTCCCTGTACCTCACTCGATACTCGAAACCATAGAACTTCTTGAGTTTTGTATGAACTTTTCTCAAGAATGATGTTCACGTCACCGGCTCTAAAACGCCATAATCATGCTGAGATCCAGAATCATATACGTTTGTTGTTTACAAATTTGTTGTTGAACCCTGAAGAATCGAAGTAGGTATTCCCACTACTGAAGATGAAGATGAAGGCTCTAGGGCTTTTTCTTGAGGCGGGGGATTAATTTTTGTTATCCAATAGGCGGGGGTAATTTTGGTCGATTTCATTTCCCGCCTAAAACGCGTGTTTCACTTAAAAATTATAAAACGACACATTTACACGACACACATTTTATGAAAGGCGCCCTTTGCATTTTTTTTCTTTTCTGACACTAATTTTAGGGCACTCACAAATGTGTGTCCTTTATCCTTCAAATTTTGCAAAAATGACATTATTTTTTAGGGCACGCACAAATGCGCGTCCTCTATCAGTGAGTGTCATTGTTTTCACGTCATTAAAGGGTTGTTTTCTTGTAGTGACGGGCTAAACATGAAGAAGATTCCTATCTATTGTGACTCAGAAAGTGAAATAAGGATTTGTCACAATCCAGTGCAACATTCCAAAACTAAGCATATTGCACTTAGATATCATTTTATTAAGTATCATGTCGAAGATGGGAGTGTGAAAGTGCATTTTGTTCGATCCTCTGATCAACTGGCTGACATATTTACCAAGGCCTTACCTGAAGCATGTTTTAATAACATTTTACAAGGTCTGGGAATGATCGAAGCAGGATCGGTACTGAATGCTCGAATCTTGCATTAAAATTAGACAAGCAAAATGGAGCGACCGCTCGGTCTATTTCAACCCCATAGTTTTCAAGAACCGAAATGAACCGATCGCTCGGTCTATTTCGGCTCTAGAATTTTATGGAACCAAAATGAACCGATCACTTGGTCTGTTTCGCTTCAGTCAATAAGACTAAGGTTTCGGTTGGATATTTTGTATATCTCTATTATTTTCTGTTTTTTTTTTCTTTCGGAAAACTTCAAAAATCTATTTTTTTTTAAAACTTTAAAAATCCAAAAATATTTTGTTTTATTTTGTTTTGTTTTTTTTTGTTCTGTGTGGTGTGTGTGTTTGTTCATTCTTTTCAATAGGTTCCAACTATAACAGTACCACAGAGTTCGGAACTGGGGCAGGTATGATGATTATTTAATGAACTAGTTAAGGGTCCCTAGAAGCATGCTGCTGCATGTTGACCAAAGCCTCTAAGACTTAGAGTAAGGCCTTAATGATTCGATCAATACCTATCGTTTCTTCCCAATTAGGCTGTTTTTATCTACTCGGTCTAGAGCTACCATACTCTTCTCATATGACTTAAGAGTTTCTCTGCTTTGTCATGTTTTTATAGCATATGGTACTTTCGGTTCTTTCACCATCCTCATTCCATTCTCCATTTACTATCGATTCACAACTGTAACCCTTGAGACTCTCGGTTCTTACCATTGAGGTTTATGGTTACATCAAATCTGTGTTTATGATCTTAGATACGAATACCACGTGCTGAGTGAAACCCAAAACACAACACCTATAATGAATTGACGGTGAATTTCTATATTCAAGATCTTACTAGTTACCTACTGAAATCTTTTTTTGCGAGGTGTTTTATGAATTCGTTTAAAACCAAGACTTTTCTTCCCATAAAGATCCAATTGTTTTTTTTTTTGAGATTTCTATAAACTCTTTTGTCATTATAAAATATAACCTACCTACTTGTTCAATAGACCACATCGGTCTCACAAGTACTTCTTTCAACACTCGGTCTTATATTAAGAATCGATGTTCGGTTGAAGATAAGCCACCTTAAGCCTATGTCTTGAAAAGAAGCCTTTGAATGTTTCTTTACAAACACTTGATCGTATTCTCAGGAAACCACACAATCACTTCAAGTCATTCTTGACTTTGAAGGAAGCTATTCTTGCCCGAAATCCCCTGCTTTCTGTCTGATAATAAGACATCACTCACATCCCATATATACATTTGCTTTATTTCTTTATCTTTTGTCACTCTATTGCACGTAAATTTTTAATTTTCCAACTTTCTGATGATGGTATGTTTGAGTATTATTTGTCCTCAAGTGAAATAAGGGCAATTCAACTTCGTATGGAAAGTTCTATTTCAATTGCTGATTGAGGAAATCCTTTTGGGCGTGTGAATTTGAACGGTCCCTATACGCACGCGTGCTGCCGCATACCTAAGAGCACCCAACCTGTCACATCGCGCTTTTTCAGGCGACGTTTTTGTGATCACATCATTATCGTCACGATTTTTCTCTCTCCTGGTAACGGTATATAAAGGGTTTCGAAGATTCTTTGTCTTCTATCAGCATCAAAGTTTCTTAACTGTAAAGGCGCTTTAAACTGTTCATCTTCCTTCTTTGATCAACAATGGCGACTTCTTCTTCCGTACATGATCAGACTACTTCATCGACATTTCTTTCTATTAAGCAAAATCAGAACATGATCATTGAACTCAATCCGTTCCTATATGATTTCTACATGTTACACGTTGTTGAGCGTTTGAAGTATTCTCCATTGGTTCTTGCCCTAATCCAATTCGAAGCTGTTCTCATGTCTCTCTTGTCCCAAGTCTACTCTTCTGCAACATATGACAAGAACAAAGAACATATTTACTTTCAAATCTACTCCAAAAAGGCCTCTATTTCAATAGGGAGGTTTTGTTCTTTACTGCATCTTGCTGTAGATTCCTCCGTCATCTCAACCGACTTCATCACTACTACACAACTATTCTTGATGCTTTATGAAATGGGATACACTGATGTGATGACCGCCTTTACAAAGGTCAAGAAGTCGTGTCTACCATCCCAATGGAACGGGCTTCTCACTCTTCTTATCAAAATCTTGGCGGAACAAAGTGCTGGATCTGTTGGCACCAACAAAGGATTTATGACCATTCTCTATGGCATTTACAATGGTCTGAACCTTGATTATGGGTCCATAATTTGGTCTCAAGTGGTGTAGATTCTTAATGCTTCAACTCGTCACTCTGAAATTTCTTGCGGAAGGTTTTGGACACTCATTACAAGGAGGGCTATCGACACTCTGGATATTTTGGTGATGAAAGTTGCCTTAATCGCATCTATTGCGACGTTTCATACAAAGAAGATCATTCTCTCTAATCCAACGAAGTTTCTATATTATGGCTCTATTCCGGAGACCATGTATCGAAGTGTCACAGCCGAAAGTCAAGTGATGGCTGATTATCGAAACCTTCCTCCAAAGGAGCCGAGAGTTTTATCTCCGGAGCAACAGGCTACCTTAGACGCAGTTGACAAGCCAAGTAAACGAGGCAAAATGGTGACAATCAAGAAGGATACAACCGAGGATGATCAACCTAAGCCTTCAAAATCGAAGAAGCCAAAGTAGGAGAAAGAGGCCCCTTCCAAACCAAAGAAAATGAAGAAGATGGTGAAAAGATCCAAAAATCCAACTCCTCCTAGTTCTGACAATCAAGAAGATGATGAAGAAAAGGAAACTCATTAGGAATCTCCACGAGGTAATACTCCACCTAGATCTCCTACTACAACCGAATCTCCTTCTCACAAACCTCCAACCCTACCCCCATCACCAAAACCGAAAGTTACAGTTTCGGTTGTTACCACCTCACCACCAATAACCTCTTTTCCACCACCACCACCACCAGTTTCTTCAGTTAGTATTCCTACAACACCTTACCAACTCCTATAATTTCCCAATCCACCACCACTACTATTCCTGAACCGACAGTAAGGGTCAACATATCTGATATGGGGGCACCTACTAAAACCGAACCTCCAGTGTTTACAAAACCTCTTTCTCTAACACACTCAACCGACTCCAGTGCCACTCTCGGTGGTGCTAATGATGAGTATGACTCCACATACTTCAGTCCTTACCGCCTTTCCACCGATGATGATGATGAGGCTCCAATCACAAGCCAACACTTGGAGAGTATAAATGAAAAGCTGGACAAACGACTTGCTGATAACAAGGCTTACAATGGTGTTGTGTTAAAGGCTTTTGTGGATACTGCCATTGGGCAATACATAGACTCTATTGACAAATCCACTAAATCAATGAGTCTGCCTCTACTTCCAGAAAGGCCTCGGCCGATGTTGCTGATGTTGTTCATATAACTAAGATATTCTTGGATTTTCTTAAAGGGCATGCCGATACAAATGCCATCAAAGTGCAAGCCTTAGTGGATTCTCTTTCTAAATCACTACAGGATTAACAAACGAAGTTTGATGTTGTTCGTTCCTCCATCCAAGCTGAAAATACCTCTCTTATCATTTCAATTTCCTCTCAGCTGGACTCACTTCATGCAAATATTGCAAAAGAGAGTGCTTTAAAAGAAGACATTGCTTGCCAAGCCTGTACCATTGAGGTTCAGAAAGTTCAACTTGCTCAAGCCAAGAAGGAGATTGCTTTATTAAAGGCAGAGAGAGCTGTGTTTAGAAGTTGTGCAGGGGAAGTAAAGGATATGCTCACCAACATACTTGGTGCTCATGATTCAATACTGATTCTGGCCATTCAGAACTATCTTACCACCGAACTGCTTCTAGCCCTTTCCCTGTTACATGAAATGAAGGGTGTTTCAAAGAAGTTTGTTGCTTTGAAACAAGGGGGAGAGGGTGCTCATCATGTTAAAACCGAACTGAAGGATAATGTAGCTTCAGGTTCTGGTTCAACAAAGGTTAAAATTGTTAAAGATGACAGTGACAATAAGATTGAAGAAACGATTGCTGATGCTCTCAAGAGAAAGAAAAGAGATAGAGGGATAGATGAGAATTTGAA